CCCTACATGAAGGATAACAGTGCTTTGAGCCGTGGGTCTTGCTGTTACAAAATGAACGCATGAGAAGCGGCACCCCTTCCTCCTTTGCTACCCACCCCAACAGTCGCGCATTTCGGGAGCTGGATGGCGAACACGGACTCCCAGACTACAGGGCAAGTGGGACACCAACACATCCTTAATGACCCTGGGTAGCCCCAAGTTGAAAGATGCCCTTGTGTTATCCCCAAGCAGCATCTGCTGATGTGAAAATCCCTCCTCAGATGCTCTCCAACTCCAGTGATCCGCCCGGACAGCAGCCGTTTGCCACATCCCCAGCAGCACCATGGCGATGCCCGGGAGAGACCCGTGTTATATCCCTACATCCCTTGGACGAGACCAAACAGCAACAAGCCAGCAGACAGAGCCAGACCACACGTTGGCTCTTCCAAACACCCTCTCCATAAGCATAGACATGAAGATTTGAAAAACCAAATGCAGAGCAGCAGTTTTCTCTGCAGGTCCTGGCCTGCCCCAGAGCCACGTGGGGCTGGCTGCCGGGACGGGGGATGACGGGGCAGGGAGCAGAGGCTGTTTGCAGCCTGAGCTACGGCTAAGTGTAGGTAGACCATCAGGTATCACCACTGGGCTTTAGAGGAGAAACCTAGCTGGACCTTTTGAGGCTCACCAGTACCACAGGCACATACCGTAAAGGGATTTCTTTTTGACTTTCCCACACAGTCCAGGGTTAGAGCCTCTGACTCCCGCACCCCAGATCTGGGCTGTCTCTGCAGTACATTTACCAGCAGACTGCCAAATCCAGGCTTGGCTTTAGTGACCGACAAGGTCTGAGACTACAGAAAGCTTGGGAGCTGGAGAGCTTGGAAGGATTGCTCAATCTGCCCACATTTGGCACCCTTACCGCATAGTCCCCAGCCTTTTCCTCCTCTCGCTGGAAGACATGCAGCTCCATCAGGGGAACTCGGTTAAGAAAGGGGTGGGAAGAGAGATGTCTTGGCTTTTGCTATTGACCTGAAGCCCTAAACTCACATTTGCCTCACCGGGGCTAACACTTCACTCGTAAAACACGACCATAGGTAAAAGATGGGATATGTGAAAAAGAAATTATTATTACAGCTGATCAAGAAATGGGATACCTTCCCACACACTCAGTTTTCAGCAAAGAAAATTCAAAACATTTTCGCCAACCCTAAGCTTTAAGACAGGACTTGACCTGAACCATGACAAGCAAATTATAATACAGAATTCAGCTGCTGTTACAGAAAATGAGTAATTGCGTAATGGTATATAGTATTACACTGTAATGATACGCTTACAGAGAACTTTCCAAGCAGTCATTGTTCTCCGGCTCTTCAGGCTGGCGCAGGGAATCAGACCGTGATAAACTTTTGACAGGACAGCAATGGGAACAGCTACGGTCCGTCTCCGAGATGAGTAAACAGCAGCCAAGTCAAGAAATCAAGCCCTGTCACGTCCAGTATTCGGGCCAGACCCAAGAGAGGGAGCTCCACGCAGTAGCCTGCAAGTCTGGGCTAGCTCAAGGAATCCGCAGAACTCATTTTTGTCTCTTTAAAACCAAGCTGCCCCATATAAATGCTGAAGAGACAAGCTCTGAGACTTTGGCGGCAGAAGTGAACCAAGGCGTAGGATCTGAGGTAGCTGCCTGCAATAGCCAACTCCAATATCACTTCTTTAAAACTGTCAAAACAGACTATTATTAAATAATAACCACATATGTTTAATTGAAGACCTTTACATAAATTTTATAGGAGTCCCATATGAGCCTAGTTTTAAATACCCTTTGATACCTCCAGACCATCCCTGCTCGTGCCCCAGGCTGCCACCATGAGACACATCCTCATTTCAGGGCAAACTCCAGTCTCACCGCAGACACCGTACGCTTTTCTTTTTTAGAAGATCCCCACAAACCTTATTTCAAAAGTTCTGCCATCAGACTAATGGCATGTAATCTGCCACCATCCAAAAGACTTCTCTGGCAAGAGCTCACATGGATGTCACTGCATTATGCATGCACCGCAGGTAGACGCAATTTTTCTCCATACAGTCATGATTTTGGGTGACCCGCTTCCAATTAGCCTCATTTCACTTTCAGAAAGCCTCAGAAATCACACCCAAATGTGTCCTTTTCCTCGCTGCAAGAAGTTCCAGGTTACCTGCCAGGCAGCAGGAGCACCGAACAAGCCAACCTCCCGATAGACTCATCCCACCGAGCCGCAGCAGCGCACCACGCAGAGGGAAAGCGCCACCAAAAAGCAAAAACTCCGCCATGAAAAATATCTATAATGCAGCTTTTACCTTTTAAATTAGCGATGGAGGAAATAACGGCCTAGAACAATTGCAAACTTCTCTTGTTTTGAGGCTGGCAGAGCCTTGTGCTCCAGACAAGGTCTGGAGATGATGGTTCAGCTTCCAGATGAGTCCGGCAGAACCCGAAGCTGTAGCTGGTGCTGGCAGGAGAGTTCTGCATCCCAGAAGACGGAGACAGCCTGCTCGCGGCGACAGCGGCTGACACGCGCCCTGACACCGTCACACCAGGGCTGTGTTACACCCTCCTGGACGGTTGCCCAAGTTGCTCTCTACCCGCAAGGCATTGCTGAAATCAGGCTGACAGCGGGCTCGGTGAAAAACGGTTCCCAAACGCCACACCGGGGACCAGGATGGCATTATTAGCAGCAGACAACACACGCTCAGAAAACTCCGCTTAATGGCACCAGGTAATGATGCTGAAAGATGTCCCCCAGCTTCTTGCTACAGAAGTAATTAAAACCAGAACACTGCTTTTCACATTACGGATAACTGATGCAGACCTGCGTATGAAATCAAGCTGCACTTTGCAAGATTAAGCCCACAATCTGCTTTTAATAGGTCCCTCCACGCTCCTCTGCCTCGTGGCAGCGCGCTGGGGCTCTGCACCAACATCAGCTCCTCGCCGCAGAGACGGGGCCATCTCAGAGAGGCTCAGCACCTTCTTCACCCCCCAAAAGCAACAGAAACGGGGTCGCAGGGGTGCTCCTGTGCCAGCCGTGCCACGCGTCGCTCCTCCAGGCACGAGCTCCCAGCAAGGGGAGGTGGGAAGGGCTGGAAAGGGGTAGGAAAGACAGACCTGCACCACAAATCCTCTTACGCAAGAGGAATTTCCAAGGAAAACTCCCACATATTACAGGACCCACAAGCCAGACCTCGCTTGCAAGCCAGAGGGAGCAACCCACTGCAGACCAGCTCTTTCGAGCCTCCTGGGTAACTGGGAAGGGACCAGCATCGCATCCCCCGTTACAGGCAGCAGCCGGAGCTGGACCCAACGCTGCCAGCACCGCGAGCAGGGGCCTGGGGTGCTGCTCCCAGCCAGCGTGCGGGTGCTGGC